GTCTAGAAAGCCCAATCTCAGCAACTATACCAATTATCAAGGTATGTACATGTGTGTGCTTGTAAATACTCGTAAGACTACCTCTCTGCATATTCTAAGTGCAAAACAATAATCATTATCTTAGGATCAACAAAATATAAGTAAACAAATTATTTTCTCGATTTTATGGCAGATATAAAGGCTTTAAGTTAATTATGCATGAATTGACTGAGATGCGGTCAAGTTTTTACGTAGTAAGGTAAAAGACCCAGTTATGAGACACTGTCCCTATTTATGAGACACCACCACAAATCTTTAATTTTAAAAACATTCGTCTATATATATCTACGGTAGAAATATTTATTTTTATTTATAAGTATGGTACAATAAAACTGTAAGAATTAAATCTAACTTGCGAAGATTTTTATTTGAAAAAAAAAATAAAAAGTAAAAGTGCACCGCGTCTCTTCTATAAGTGGCTTCCATTCGTACCATAGTATAGGTTCACATGCCCATTATAAACTACCGTATTAGAGAATCAAAAGCATTCCAGATATAGTAAAAAACTAGTTGTTTGTAATATTACAATCCTAGAACGTAAATAAAAAAAAATATATTTAATTTTTTAATAATTTTCAAAAATATTCGAGTGTTTCATAATCTATACACCGTCGACAGGGTTGTCCCTATTTATGAGACAGTCTAGTGCGTGTTCCATAAACTAAGGCTAAGGTGTTTACTTGCATTGCACCGTTTTACGAGACAACAAGCATACGCGATTGTCAATAAGTTTTTCAGTTGTTTATCGTACTTAAACAATCACTTGTGAAAGTTTTTTTTTACTAATAAAGAAGAAATATTAAAGTTACTTTGTTGATGCGTGAAAATGCATGTAATTGAAACAACACTGATTTTGAGGTAAAATTGTTCTTCTAACCTATAAAGCGAAGCTTACGTAAAATAGTTATATTGAGAAATTTGTATTTTTTTCTTTAGATTGNGTATACATTTTTTTTTCTTCACAAAATGTTGTTTTTTTTCAAAATTTTGTAGTAGTACATGTAAGCTTGATGTTTCACAAATCATGAAAAAATTCCTTAGGACGTCTTGGGAATTAAAGCGTTGGCAGATTTTCAAGCAAAAATAGGGAATCCTCGTTTGATTATATATATGAGGCAGTCTCTGGCTAATCAATCACCCCCTGTGCACTTTTCTGTTTAAGATAAACCATTTCTACTAGGAATAACATTTTCGCTATCCACTCTGTTCCTTAGACTTTATGGTGATTTTTGATTCTTTTAAATGTCGAACCTTTTATTACTTATCAAAAGAATAGAGATATTTCTAACAAATGAGAAAAATAGTAGAGTCTTATAGAAGTAAAACTGTCCGCTCAAGCAGGAAGAAAGGAGGGATAGAAAAAGAGAAAGAGTGAGAAAATATACGGCGGTAATGGGACATCTCTTTCTTTGTCCTGTTTGTGAATTGCTACTTGTGCGTGGGATATCAACCACATTATAATTTTCAAATTAAATCATAGCAATTAGAAGAGGAAGATGCACAGGTACTGCGATCTTTTCTCTCTATCTCTCCTCGAGCAGACACAATTAATAACAGATTCCCTACTCTACTTATAATATGTATACAGTTAATAAATGGTAAATGTACAATTTTTTTGCCTAATTTGAAAGTTACTTTAAAAATAACGTAGTTTTTATTATTACTCAAGACTTAATACATATCTTTGGGATCTCTAACTTCGAAAAACGTGTCTAAGATGGTGACTTGATCCGGCATTTTTAGAAATCTACATTATTTTACTACTTATAGCAGGTGTTAGTTATAAGCATTAAAATTTTTAAGATGACAAATTACGAATAGCCCATTATTTTCTTAAAATTTTAAGATAGCAAATCTAAAATAGCAGCTAGAAACTAGACTGACAATAGATTTATATTAAATTTATGGGTACTTTTACGTAATTATGACACATGTAGGATATAACAATACTTCAACGTAACAAATCCATGACAACAATTGGAAATGATCAAAAAATTTTTCTGATAACATGCAATACTTCTTTTTTTCATCATCACTAGAAAAATACTTTACTGCGCCCATTAAAAAAATACAAACCCTGGGCAACATGGCTTTATTTTGTGTGTATGCGGTGGTTTTAGTACAAGCTAGCATCTAAAAGCAAGTTTAATAAAATAGTGCTTGCTCCTTTATTGTATGTCATACTATTCATTTACAGAAAACTGGTACTTTCAAACGCATTTGAATAGAGTTATGTGTAATAAGAAAGCTTGGGGAAAAAAACTTTATTTCATTTCTGATTACACTTTTTAAAATGGTAGTAATTTTAACAAATCTACTTATGTTACACACAAAAAAACCGTAAATACAATCTTCATCTATCTATGAATATGTAGTATATATAACATTATACCTGTCTTTAGTCTTACATACGAATAGCTAGCTCACTACTACAATGGCACTATCTGTTTCATTATTAATTTATGATTAACATTGCTAGTATAAAACTTGAAAAGGTTAAATGGAGGAAGTACTTTTCAAAGATTCAGTATATTTTTCGAATTTGAAAAATGATGTCTTTTCATGCTATTTCTGTTAACAAAGCTTAATTTTTAAACTTCAAAAGTGTATATATATATATATTTATGTATATATATATATATA